TGGAGTGCATGTGAGAGCACTTTGCATAAGTTGGAAACTCGTCAATGATAAATTGGCTTTTACGACCGCCTCGTCTATTTTTATAATATTCAGCAAAATATTATCATTTCAATGAGATTCATGATCCCAATGCCATTCTCTATATAAATGTCCCAACCATGTGATGAAAAAAACACTCACACACCAACCATTTTGACATAGATAAACACCTTCCATATTGAAATCATTAGTCATTAGCACATATAACATGGCAAAGTTGAAATTCTGGCTATGTTTGCTCTTGATTTGCATTTCTTTATCACGTTTATCAGCGTCTCGACCGCTGCAGCAGTGGCTTCCAAACGCAAGCGGGATAAAACGAGGACGTATGATGAGAGAAGCAGAGAAAGTGTTGAAAGCTAATATGGAAAAGCTCGTGGAGAGTGGTTTTAATGAGTCCATGAGACTTAGTCCTGGAGGTCCCGATCCTCGTCATCACTGAGTACTTACTCTCGTAGATTTTAAATTTGAAAAGTGCATTTTTTTTCTTTTTTCTTGATCGGGTTTGCATAAACCGATCGGTTTAGACGAAAACATATCGATCCATTTTGTATTTAGCTTGTTTGTTTGTTCGGTTTTAACCATAATAAATTGATGTAATATTGTTCGTTATACATTTTACGAATTGTGCATGCTTTACGTACCTTATACATTCTATATAGTATAGTAGGGAGGAATTTGCATATAAAGTACATAACAAGAAAGGCTAAAGAATTAGTATTGAATTAATTTAATTTATCCTGTTTATATTCTCTAATGGCTCGTGTAGATAAAAAGAAGTAAAATCTGTTTGAAAAGTATATACTACAAAAAGGAGAGAGAAAAGAAAGATAGTGATTGAAGTTAAAAATAAAAAACAGGGGAAATATAGAGATCTTGTTATAAGGAAATTAAATTATACTTTTGAAGCTCCAAGTCAACGTCTACAAATCTTCAATTTTATATCTTTCTTTCACATATCAAAACTTTGAGTTGCTCTCCCTGGTTGCTCTCTACGAATCCCATGTCTCAAATTTCTCATTTTCTCCTTATATTTTTGTTACAAATCCAGAAAACTTACAAGTTAGTCCCAAGCTTGAGCTTGACTATGTGTGAATGAATGAATAATATGATCAAACTGTATTGTAAGATAAGAGATCAAGTAACTTGTTACAAAAGAAAAGATTCAAAGTAACTTACACAAACTATTGAAAAATATTCAATTATCTATAGGAAGAGGGTACTTACAATACCTCTCATTCTTCATACACATAAAGAATCTCTCATAAGCCGAGGCCATTTGAGTCGCTGTAAACATCGAAAGAGCGTAATTCTTACAAGCATTTCCCTTCACTCCAAAACCCTAGAACCATCTCTTACAACAGAATCCAATGTCTCAACAAGAGATCTCACGTTTGGAGAAAACGTGTACCCAAAACGTTCATCAACAACCACTGTCCCAACAATGCTCGGATAATTGGGCGTCACGACCGGTTTCCCACACTGCATTGCCTCAATGATCGTCAAATCAAGCCCTTGTGGTCTTAACGTCGGATTCACAAACACATCTAATGCATTGTAGAAACCAGAGAGCTCTACTGGCTCTAAACCTCCTAAAACCCTAACGTTTTGACCTAATTCCGCGTATCTTTTGCCCCAAGGACCAGATCCAGCCACAAGTAGATAGACTCGTGGGTGAGTTTTAGCGATCAAAGCAAACGCTTCGTACAGAAGTGGATGTCCTTTGTCTCTCACCAAACGTCCAGAGACACCCATCACAATAGCCGTCCCATTACCATCATCAGGAACACCGTGTTTCGCCCTGAATCTAGCTCCAGATTCAGGGGAATACACGAATTTCGTTTGGTCAACACCGTTGACTATAACATGAACATTTCTCTTAGGAAGCTGATAGATGTTAACAAGAACCTCACGCGCGCTATTGCTTATGCAAATGTGGTGCTTATAGCCGGGAAGAATCTGATTTCATCGACGAGTCTAGTCATCGTTTGTTCAAGATCAGAGCTATGATGATCATTAAAGTAATAAAGCTCTTGAAAAATCTTGGAATGTATAATCTCGTACCAGATTCCGTGCCACGTTACAGCCACTTCGCCGTTAGGAACCATCTTAACTCGCCAATGAGGCAGAGCAACACTCTCTGTGTGAACATAATCAAAGGGATGATATATAACGTTGATTCTATGGAAGATCTCGAAAGCTTGAGTGCAGTTGAGTACACCGTGTTGGTTTGGAGCAAAGTAGACATGAAGATCTCCTTTGTTGTAATACTCTTCTCGGTGGTTACTTCTGTCCGAAGAAACCGTGAAGAAGTGAATCTCGTGACCTCTTGAGGCTAGAGAAGTGTAGAGCGTGTGTGCGTGACGCTCCATTCCTCCAGGGATCGAACCAACGGGCCATGATTTGCAGAAGACAGCGAGTTTTAGCTTCTCGGAGATTGGTCCGAAGGAGAGTTTGTTCCAAGGGAATGTTAGGTCTCGAAGATCTCCGGCGAAGGAGGGATTCTCCGGCGAATAGTTCACCGGAGAGTAGTCAAACTGTG